ACTCGACTCTGCCCCCCCCCCCCCCAATAGCTAGCAATCCAAAACAGTCCAGTGGAGCCTGAGCGGTCGGTGTTGCCTCCTGACACACTTCCGGTGATGTCAGGGGGCGTGGCATATGCAAATAAGTTATGCCAATGAGTTACGCTAATGAGCTCCTGCGCCTCTTTTTCTAGGAAATGACCCCTGCCCGTCAGCATCTCTCCCCACCCCCCACCATATTTGGACTTTCACTTAAGCCTGGTGTTTTTCTCAGAAGGGATGCCGTGAACACTCACTTGAACTTCTTTTTTATTTCCCAGGCACTCCACTCTCTCCACAAAGTCTTCAAACTGCAGTTTAGGGAACAGCCTGTGAGCCCAGTGCTCCATGTTCTTGATGAGCATCTTCAAGTCCGCTGCCTGAACATAAGAACATGAGTCCACCAGTAGCACCTTAAATACGGACAAATCTGCGCCGGGGGTGAGCCTTTGGGAGTCACTGCTCACCTCTTCAGAGAAGCACAAGTTACTGCTAAAACTGACGGCTCAGCAAAACGTTGGGCAGACCCACTTCCAAAAAGGCTTGGGCTGCTCAGCTAGCCTTAAACAGTTAACAGTTTCGGATTGCGTCGCTGAGCTGTAAGAGGGAAGCTAAGCTTTAAAGAAAAATACAGATGGAAAGCACTTTCACGGAGACACTGGCAGTAAGCAGAAAACTTGCAAGGGCAAGCAGCAGTTTAATATATTGTGTTAGAAACTGTCCAGGCCATATAAATGCACCATTGTTAAATGGGAGCCAGGTGCTCAACTGGCACATTTATTACAAGGAAATACTGCCTTCTCAGACTACAATATTTTATTGCGGGGGTGGGGGGGAGGTCTAGCATGTCTAAGGCAGTCTGAGGTGCTGGGTGGAATAAGAACATAAGAGAAGCCAACATTGTATCAGGCCAATGGCCCATCCAGTCTAACACCCTGTGTCACATGGTGGCCAAAAATACCAGGTGCCCTCAAGAGGTCCAGCAGTGGGGCTAGGGCACTAGGAGCTCACCCACTGTCGTCCCCCCCAATACAGAGCATCACTTGGCCCAGACCGAGAGTTCCTAGCTATACCTTGTGGCCACTGATATATCTGTGTTCCATATCTAATTCCCTCTTGAAGCCGTCCATGCTTGTAGCCGCCGCCACCTCCTGTGGCAGTGAATTCCATCTGTTAATCTCTCTTTGGGTGAACGATTCCTTTTATCCGTTCTAACCCGGCCGCTCAGCAATTTCATTGAGTGCCCACGAGTTCTTGTCTTGTGAGAAAGGGAGAAAAGTACCTCTTTCTCTACCTGCTCTATCCCACGCATAACCTTGCAAACCTCGATCATGTCACCCCTCAGCCGTCATTTCTCCAAGCTAAAGAGCCCCAAGTGCTTTAACCTTTCCTCATAAGGAAAGTGTTCCAACCCTTTTATCATTCTAGTTGCCCTTTTCTGCACTTTTTCCAAAGCTATAATATCCTTTCTAAGGAATGCGACTGTACAGTGTCTGCTGCAACATCCCAGGAGATGCAACCCCCCTCCCAATTCTACACACTTAAAAAAAAAAAGTACTTAAGGGTATTTATCAAATGCCCACTCCAGCACTTGTCATTCTTTCTTCAAACATAGTGCACAAACATCGGGAGCAGAGGTCCCTCCGTGGCTATTAGCCACAAGGTATAGATAGGAACTCTGTCTGGGCCAAGGGATGCTCTGTATTCTTGGTGTTGGGGTGGAGGGGCAACAGTGGGAGGGCTCCTAGTGTCCTGGCCCCACTGGTGGACCTCCTGATGGCACCTGGTATTTCTGGCCCCTGTGTGACTCAGAGTGTTGAACTCGATGGGCCACTGTCCTGATCCAACACTGGCTTCACTTATGTTCATATATCTGGGGGAAGGGATGCTCTATATTCTTGGTGCTTGGGGGGGGCAACAGTGGGAGGGCTTCTAGTGTCCTGGCCCCACTGATGGACCTCCTAATGGCACCTGGTATTTCTGACCACTGTGTGACACTGAGTGTTGGACTGGATGGGCCACTGGCCTGATCCAACATTGGCTTCTCTCTTATGTTTTTATAGGAACCCTCAGTCTGGGGCAAGTGATGCTCTGTCTTCTTGGGGCTTGGGGGGGTGGGAAACAGTGGGAGGGCTTCTAGTGTCCTGGCCCCACTGATGGACCTCCTGATGGCACCTGGTATTTCTGGCCACTGTGTGACACAGAGTGTTGGACTGAATGGGCCACTGGCCTGGTCCAGCATTGGCTTCCCTCTTATGTTTTTACCTTTGAGTTTCATCTTTCCAGTGCCCGAAGGAGTATGAGTCTGGATTTTTTGTAAAAAGAAAAAGCAAATTAGGAATACCCTTCTGAGTGTACTCCTTGGGCCTTGTGGCATGATCAGTGCCCCCAACCCCATGATGCTACAAGAAAAATATATGCTGCCAGCAATGCTCCCTTGAAGCTGTGGAGTCTTGTGAGCAAAAATTCTGCTTTGTGAGCTACCGGCATTAAAGTTGCGAGCGAGCGATTTGGCTCCTGCATAAATTAAGTCTGTTCCGGAGCCCTCCTTCCTGAGCGAAGGCAGAAATGTGTGAGCCGGAGGCTAAAAAGCTGTGAGCTGGCTCACACTAACTCAGCTTAGAGGGAACACTGGCTGCTGGAATCCCTGCTGGAAGAAGCCCTTGGGGAAAGGATCAGTTTGAGGGAATGAAAACAACAGTTTCTCCAAGACTGAAGCGAACCCTCTTCCTTGCCTCAGCTGTGTGTGTTTGTGCCTGTGTGTTTCTGTGTGTGTGTGTCAGCAAACGACTTATGGAGACCCCAGCAAGGGGCTTTCAAGGCAAGGGATTAAGCAGAGGGGGTTGGCCACGGCTCCCTTTATATACAGCCACTAAAGTTAAAACAAATGACTATATGTAGCCAAGTGCCACCAGCATCAGAAGAGCAGTAAGCCACACACACACAATGTTGGGATCAGCGCCTCCAATAGCTTCCTTTCATTGCTAAAAGACTTCACATTGAAATGATACAGCCCCAGCATTTAGACCCACAGAATGCATAAGAGGCACAGAACGGCTACAAAGATCGACAGAATACTTCTGAGCGTGGCTTACCTCGTGACCTTTCCCTTTGAATTTCACATTATCAAACATACTCCGCAGAGCTGGAAGTCCTCGCTCTGAAATCAACCTGTGAATGTTAGAAGTGTCTCCAGTTACTTTAAGAATAATTCTCACTAACTCATATGCCTTCCAATATCCAGAAATCCAACCCGTACAGTATATCTCTGTCTCAATACAGCCCTTCAATACACAAAGGGTGCTTTCACACCCTTCCAATCCACTTCCAATGCACTGTAGTGGTAGTCTGCAAGTGGATTTTGCCGTTTCCCCCAGTAAAATCCAATTGCAGAGTGGATTGAAAGTGTGTTATACACGGCGTGTGAAAGGGCCCCCAAACAGAGCCCTCTTCGCTTTCTAGGAGTGGTGGCGCTGACTATCTTGGGGGAAGGGGACAGACAGCCCCCCTCCTCTCCATGAGAATGGTGGGAGCTCACAGAGTGGCAGCTGATGCCCGAAGCCACCCAGCTTATTATGTATGTATTCATTCAATTTCTATCCCGCCCTTCCCACAACATTAAAGAGAGCCAGTTTGGTGTAGTGGTTAAGTGCGCGGACTCTAATCTGGGAGAACTGGGTTTGATTCCCCACTCCACCACTTGCACCTGCTGATGTGACCTTGGGTCAGTCACAAGCTCTGGCACAGCTGTCCTTGAAAAGGAGCAGTTTGTGCCAGAGTTCTCTCAGCCCCACCCACCTCACAGGGTGTCTGTTGTGGGGAGGGGAAGGGAAAGGAGTTTGTAAGCCGCTCTGAGACTCCAAAGTGAGGGCCGGGGTATAAATCCAATCTTCTTCATAAAACAATAAAATCAGATAAAACTGTAAAATTAACCCTTAAACGATGGCAAACAAACAATGTCACAGCTATTTCAGTGGTGCCCGGGCATTAGACGATAAACGCAGAAGGGCTGGCTCCGAAAAGAACTTCCAGATTACAGGGTGGCTAATCATTCTGTGTCCTCGAAAATTGAAGACCATAATATAGATGGCAGCTTCCAGACCACAAGCCAGAAAACATGCCACTGGTTGCCAGGAACAGATGAGCCCTAGAAACTCTTAACTGGCTGCTAGGAGGAGTCAGTATTGCAATTCCTTCATAATACCCTGGAATAAACCATAATAAATGAAAATCCACATGTAGCTGCATGGAAATTAGTTATTTTAAAATTATAATGATTTAATAATTTAGTTTTTAGAAAACTTACTTCTGGATATTATGAAGGAAATTACAATACTGAGCTGGATTAAGAAGCTGACACCTCCTTACAATATAGGGAAGACTGTATAGGTGAAATGAGTTCATAACCGGGTACTCATAATGTTGGACTTTTTTACAATAATGTATAATTGAGAATGCTGGACAATTTTTTTGCAATTTTATAAAGTTGCATGCATGAAGACAGATAGAGTTAGAAACATATCACCAGGTACCTCTGAGCATCTAGTTTAGGCATTGGCCTTTTAACACCTTTCCTGGTGGTCATCGACGAATCCTTGGTTTGCGATGAGTTTTTTCCTTCTGGCTCTGGAAAAGAAACAAAACGTAAGTGGAAATGCAAATAATACTAACCACAGAACGAACTGTCCACTGTAATAAATATTGTTAGATAAGACAGGCTGGCAGATAAGACTGACAGATCCAAAGGCAGTCTGAGATTTAGGGTTTTGCAAACTGCCACATCTAAACTGAATTACTTTACAAAGCACAAAATATACAGACCATCTCAAAGCCACTGTCTTTACAGAAGGTAATTTGTGCTTAAGGTTTTAACAATGGGTGCAATACACATTCTAATCTTAGTAGAAGGTTAGCAGTGGAAACAAGTAACTGAATTACCTTCTTCATCTTCTCCCCCTGGGGAGGCTGGGGGAGGTAGAGGTTGAAACTCCTCATCCTGGGTGTGTTCATAATCAGGAATGTCAAACAAATTGCCATCTACTGGATCAATCATCTGTCCAACAAAGCTGTTCTGTCCTGCAAAAGAACACAAAGGTAAAAGTGGGGTCTATTATTTTGCAAACCCACCTAGGTATCAAGAACAGACCAACCCTATTCTTCTGTTCTTTACTAGTTCAAATGGACAACCAACACTTAATGAAAATTCTTGAGTCTTTACAAGGAACTAAGAACAACAGTACAGTACGAACTACATTTAAGCCTTCAGTTTCAGTGAAGTGCAGAGGGTTTTTTTTAAAGGTACTCCTTCCCTGAAATGCCCTAATGCGCCCAAGACAACAAGAACAGAATCCCTCCGCCCCTAGGAAAAAAAAAACAATTTCCCTCCAAGGAACTCTGAGCAACATACAAATCTCTTCCACCCTCCATTTTATCCTCACACGACCTTTTGAAGGTAGGTTAGACGGAGACTGCGAAGCTCATGGCTGAGTGGGAACCTATCACATGGTCCATAGCACGGGTCCCTAACTTTTTCAAGCCTGTGGGCACACCTGGAATTCTGCTGCATCATGGCGGGCGCAGTCACCAAATGGCTGCTGAAAAGGACTGTCACAGGAGGCAGAGCTAGCCACAATGAAGAAGAGATTGGATTTATACCCCTCCCTTCACTTGGAGTCTCAGAGCAGCTTACAAACTCCTTTCCCTTCCCCTCCCCACAACAGACACCCTGTGAGGTAGGTGGGGCTGAGAGAGCTCTTTCAAGAACTGCTCTTTCAAGGACAGCTGACAGAACTGTGGCTTGCCCAAGGTCATCCAGCAGGTGCAAGTGGAGGAGTGGGGAATCAAACCAGGTTCTCCAATACACCACTACACCAAACTGGCTCTCACCTACCAGAGCAGCTACCACAGCTTACCTCCAGTCACACAGTAAAAACAGGAGAGGGCTGTGGCTCAGTTGTAGAGCCTCTTTTTGGCATGCAGAAGATCCCAGGTTCAATCCCTGGCATCTCCAGTTAAGGGAGCAGTGAGTAGGCGATGTGAAAGATCTTTCTCTGCCTGAAAGCCTGGACACAGCTGCTGCCGGTTTGAGTAGACAAGACTGACCTTGAGGGGCCAAGGGTCTCATTCAGTAGAAGGCAGCTTCATGTAGCCTTGTGCTGTGATGGCCGCTGCTACCAAAATCGACATGTTTAAGTATCTGTAGAAAAGACAGGGTGAGTCCCTGTCTCTAGTTCCAGCTCCTGCCAACCTAGCAGTTCGAAAGCAAGAAATTGCAAGTAGATAAATAGGTACCACTTCGGTGGGAAGGGAACAGCGTTCCGTGCGCCTTGGCGTTTAGTCATGCCGGCCACATGACCACGGAAACATCTTCGGACAACGCTGGCTCTTCGGCTTTGAAACGGAGATGAGCACCGCAACCCTAGAGTCGGATTCGACTGGCTTTCGAGCAAGGGAACCTTTACCTTTACTAGAAAAGGGCAAGAGTCAGGTAGCCTCTTAAAGACTAACAGAATATGTGGCAGGGTCACAAGACAGGACAGATGGACTCCCGTGAGCAGTGACTCGAGAAAGCTCCTCCCCTGCCCCATCTTTAAGGTTCTACTGGACTCTTGCTCTTCTCTACTGCTGCAGGCAGACTAACAGGGCGACCCATCTTGACTTTTAAAGATCTGGACAGCCCATCAAACCTCCAAGGGCCAATCAAAAGCCTTGCTGGGCAAAAGCCCCCCCCCCCGGCGGGCACCAACAGAAGCATCAGCCTGCGCCACGGTGCCCGCGGGCACCACGTTGGGGACCCCCTGGCCTGTGGCAGCTCCATTGGCCTCCCTCCCTCTCTCAACCGGGCCCACATCCCGCATAACACGGGGCGCGCATCTCCACCTGCGCTTTGGAAGCCAAACTGACCGCTTCTCCACCGCCGGCGTCAGGAGACGGGTTCCAGGGACTGTCCTTCCTTTTAGTAGATCCCCAAAAAGGGGACATAAATGGTATATATCATCATCTAATATTTAAACTAAATTATATCAATTCAACTTATATATGCCTATGTTATATTTGTATCTCTTTGGCTCAAGTAGTTAAGACGCTGAACTACAGGCTGTGGAAAATCAGTAGTTCAGCAGTTCGAGACCCGGGTGCCGCAAGACGGAGTGAGCTCCCGTCTCTAGTTCCAGCTCCTGCCAACCTAGCAGTTCAAAAGCAAGAAATTGCAAGTAGATAAATAGGTACCACTTCAGTGGGAAGGTAACAGCGTTCCGTGTGCCTCGGTGTTTAGTCATGCCGGCCACATGACCACAGAAACATCTTCGGACAGCGCTGGCTCTTCGGCTTTCAAACGGAGATGAGCACCGCAATCCTAGAGTCGGACTCGACTGGCTTTCGAGCAAGGGAACCTTTACCTTTACCTTACATAAACAGTGTTCTTCTTTTTTCATTCTTTCAGAAGGATCATTCATTGTGCATTGAAACATAATAGTTATTCGCTTCCTAAGTTCCAGCATCTTCTATCTTCTTGTTTTGATCTGATAATACAGTTAACTGATGAAGTATAGGTTGGAGCCCAGAAAACCATTGGGTCTATGGAAGGTTACAGTGTAAGCTAGGGGAGAAAGATAATATTTTGAGGCGAAACGGCATTCCCTGTTCCCTTCCGGTCATACTTTCTCGGTGGAGTCACGTCGCCCGAGGCCAAAGCCAAAACATTTGTTGCCATTAGTATTCCTTTGTAAAAGTTTATTGTGAAGGACGTTTAAAGGCGTTCCTGTGTGTGAGAGAGCGATCAGGGGTTGACCGGAGCCAGTGTTCCCTCTAAGCTGAGTTAGTGTGAGCTAGCTCACAATTTTTTAACCTCCGGCTCACACATTTTTGTCTTAGCTCAGGAAGGAGGGCCCCAGAGCAAACTAATTTATGCAGCAGCCAAATCGCTCGCTCAGAACTTTAATGCCAGCAACTCACAAAGTATAATTTTTGCTCACAAGACTCCACAGCTTAGAGGGGACCGTTTCCAATGCTCAGTAATATGAGGTCTTTCCCCGCCCCCAATTAGTAATTTACATATTTAGAAAATAGAACAAAGTTTGAGTCCAGGGGCAGCTTTAAGACCAACAAAGTTTAATCCTGGGTGTAAGCTTTCTTGTGGATGCACACCTGTGTGCATCTTAAAGGTGCCGCTGGACTCAAATTTTGTTCCTTGTCCAGTGGGAGAATGGTGGAGCTGCTTTTTCTCCACCCTTCTTTGGTTCTCTGACCAGGCAAAGGGGGTGTGGTGGCAGGAGGGGCCGTTTTGTTGTGTGCACAGTTTATGAAACACTGTTAAAGCATTTTGCACTTTGCCACTGACAAACAGAATGAGCTTTGCAGGTACACTTAACCTTTCTGTGATACATATGTTAAGTGCTATTTATGATTTTAACTACATGGACAGAAATCAATCATGAATGTATTCAGATATTAGACTTTGGTTCACTGATGGCTATAGCTGGAAATGCATTCTGGGAAGCTTAAACAAAATGCTATTCTGCTATTTGGCTGTTCTGCTGAGGATTGTGGCCTTGACTGGCTATTTCTGCACAATGTGCCAGTTAGCCTGGCTACATAGAGGACAATGAACATCTTATAACCATACCAGCTAATATACTTTCGAAATTCTATGACCTAAGCTAGACGAAAGTTTAATGTTAAGTTAGAAAGAAGAGACTTTGCCAGGGGTCTTAACCCAATGAGGATAGGTGACAAGATTTGACAAAGTTTGAAGGAACCAATAATTCTGTTTTATTCCTGTGATGTAATCTCTCCTTATATATAATTGAATAGTGGGTGCCAAAGTTCTAATTCTAAAATGCACTCCCTTAGTGTATGGCTGATGGCACTGCTCCTCAGCATATATCGCCACCAATCAGAAGGCAAAGCCCGGGTCCCGCCCACACCACAACTGCTGCGACAACCTGGTCTTTTGCATATGGAAGCTGATTGGACTTCTGTCTGTATCTTCTTCTGAACAGTAGTTGAATACATAAGGTGAACCTTGTGAAACATTTATAAAGCAATGTGTAAGAATACTTAAGTACAGTTTTTGTTTCTTTTGCAAACCTATTAACACTGTGTTACACTGACAAACTTTTAAAGAACATCAAGCAGGTTACGGTATGTGCCCTCATTTTGCCAATAAGTAAAGGAATTAGGAGCAAAGACTATTTTAGGTAAAGGTTCCCTTGCTCGAAAGCCAGTCGAATCCGACTCTAGGGTTTGGTATCTGAGGGGACCAAACCCTGTTTGTTTGGTTTCTCCCGGTTAATCGATTAACAATGAAGACCTCTGTTACAGTTTCTTCCTTCACAGGACTGAGAGTGTGTGTTTCTCAAATTGGGACCAGGGAAACACAGAGGATTCGTACAACAATTTTGATTCCCAGTCCGCCCCTACTTAAAAAGAGGGGCTTGACATTACACCTACACTACACTGCGAGAGTCATTCTCCTGTTAGAGCTGTCAGCCTCTTGTAGGATGATGGGGAGGGGGGTGGAGGCGAGGGGATTGCAAGGGTTGGGCGAAGGGGATCTTTGTGACTCTATGCAAAATCCAGTCTTCAAGATTAAAAAAACTGACCAAGGACTCAGTGGAGAGGAGGGGAAACTCATGAGATGGGATGCCCTCCCTTCAGCAGTTACAGAGGGGATATTTAATTTAAAAAAAAGCCCTTGCTGGTCGTATATGTCCCTGTTGCAATGACGGAATTGAAACTTTAACGCACGTTATAGACGACTGCAGGGCATATAGCCACTCTCGTGATATTCTCCCACTCTCTACAACTACTCTATCCTCAGCTAGTCAAAAGGTGCAATTACTGAAGGACCTCCTAGAAAGAAGGCACTCTGAGGTTACAGCTAAACTTGCCAGATTTGGCCGATTAGCTGTAAGGACTAGAAAGCTGCTAGTGAAAGGCGAATAGATGTAATTTGTTGCAGGACTTAACATGTTTTACTATTTGATATTTCATTTTATAATCTCTCATTTATGTTTGTGGTTTTATGAATTTTGACAGATTTAGTTTGACTGCTGTATAAGAGTGCTGGCTTTTGCCGTGAATAAATGGGTGGCTGGTGGCAGTGATCCTCTGGATGTGAGAGAACGCTGCCGTCTTTTATTAATATTCACGCTTAATAATACTTATGATTTTACACACTGTGGTTTTAATCCGAATCCTGTGTTTTAACATATCCTGTTGACTATATATATATATACACACGATCGGGCGCACAGCAGCCGGGTGGAGGAGAAAAAAGAGAAGTACAGCTATGCAGCTGGAAGTAGTGGGGGTGGGAGGATTTGTCTGGAAGCCAGAAAAATAGCAGTGGGGGAGGGGAGCAGACCTGAACCAACAGCTGCATTCCAGACTCTGGAACCTGGCCAAAGAACAGTGTCTTGAAGCAAGTGACAGGCCAAAGCCTTCCACTAATATTTGATCCTTCTGGTTTGTGTAAAGGGTGCTGCTAAGACAAAACCTTTGAATTCATGAAGAGTAACTGTCACCCTCTCCCATACACCAGCACAAGTGTCAGTTATCGTCTTGTACAGGGGTCATTTCCTGCAGGAGCGCACAGGAGCAGAGCTCTGGCACTAAAGAGCCCAGGGGGCGGGCACATGCAACAAGCCCCGCCCCCTGCTCCCAGCAGCCCTCAGCCAGAGCAAGAAGCGGCCAGGTAAGCTGCAGAGCTCCTCCCAGCCCCCCGGTCCAAAACAGTCCAATGGCACTATTAAGACCAAGTTTTATTCAGGTACAAGCTCTCCCTCCTCTGTGAGATCTGCACGTCCCATCCCCCCCCCCCCCCCCACCAAACCAAAAAAGGCAGTGGAGCCTGAATGGTGGGTGTTGCCTTCTGACACACTTCCGGTGATGTCAGGGGGCGTGGCACATGCAAATAAGTTATGCTAATGAGCTCCTGCACCTCTTTTTCTACGAAATGACCGCTGGTCTTGTACATAAAACATGTATGATGTAGAAACAATCTTATTGCTATTTTTTACATGCACTGATAGTAAGAGATGCATGGATTCTATAAAAGGCAATTGATCTGTGTCATCTTGAGAGGGGGCACGATTCCCATCTCTTTCTTTGACCCAATGGATCAGCGGAGGGCCTCCTGTATCAGATAAATGCCGAGATAGCTTTCGCGCACAAGTCCTTACTAGAATTCCATGCTGCATGTTAGAAGCTGCCTGATCACATGCCTCTACAGCTCTCCGCTTTGACATCAGGCTATAGTGGGAAGCTGCCAATCAGAATGGAGATCCCTACAACATGAAAGGCATTTTCCCAGCCATCATTTCACTCAATTTGTTTCCAACACTTGGTTCAGAAAGCAGGCGCTTCCTTCACTTGGGTTTTATTTCTTTAGAACACTTCCATGCCGTCTTTCTGCCAAATTTAGCACCCCCCAAGGTAGCAAACATTAAAACATTACAAGTATTAAAAAGCATTTAAAATACACATAAAAACACATGAACAAGGAGGAGGGCTAATCGCTGGTGAGAGTTGTTAGGGTGCAGGTTTTTTACCTTTCTAAATTGGACAGCCAACTTGTAAACTGGACAGCTCTCTGTGTATTTGCTGGGCTGAGAGCTAACCCGGTGTTCGAGCAAAACATGCTGTTCACACAACTGAGACAACCTGGTATTCTATCCAGAGGATCTTTAATAACCATCCTGTTATTGACAGCTAAGTGTGTACTCCCAAATTATGCAACACTGTGTGTGCAAACAGAGTTCAGACTGCCTGAGAAAAATGTCCTCTCCCTTCAGCAAGGACTACATTCTGCTCTATAAGAGCAGGGTTTTGCAGGGCTGAGGGTTTTGCAGATAGGACATTACCACAGCAGAGATAGACAGCCTGGAGATGAGAGAGGGAA